ATATAAACATTCATTTTTTTGAAAATGAATATTTTGCGATTGATGTGAACTAGGAGCAATAACACACGGAAGGAGAGAGAATCCAGTTTGACGTGTATGCATTCTAAAATACAACTAAATATTATGCAATATTATTATAAAATGCAACTAAAAATTATTCCAAAAACTAGTTTAAACGTTTTTTTGATATGCTCTGCAAATAAATGCTGCGGTGTCTATGGATTAGGTTCGGACAGTTGAACAAAAATGGATTTTTAAAATTTATTCTTATTTTCCAGTTTAAATGTAGTAACTTGTAACGGATCAGATGAATGCGGGTGTCCAATCAGGAGCTTAGTTTTGACTAATTTTTGGCATTGAAAATTCCCATTCGATACCCGCGTCACAGCTGATGATCGGTCACAAGTCACTATATTTAAATCGAGCAATAGACAATATACGTTAATAAATCTTACTTGAAGAGGGTTGAACTGAGAACTGTGCACTCTTTTGAAGCCCGGCAAAGTCTTTTATTTATTACAATTTCGATGTCAAGCATTTTACAGAGCTTTGGCCAAGAATTAGATTTTACATAGGAAAAATAATTCGAGCCGGTAATGTACTTATTTTGCAGTTTCATCACATTGATTTTATGTAAATTTGCGAATATATATATTGGTGGTTTTCTTTCAAAATAATATGAGTATATAATATATAATATAATGATTTGTCGTATAGATACATTAATAAATATAAACGTAATGTTTCGTGATTCTTGTACTATATTTAATATATAGAATATTATAAAATTTGTTTCCTCAAGGGAATGCGTTTATCAAAATGTACTGAAGAATCGGGTAGGACGGCATTATTTACTCTGCTTTATTCACAAACAAGACGTGAAGTTTTATACAATTTATAGCCTTATCTTAATTAATACTTCTCTTAGGAACCATTCCATTAAACTTTTTTTAGACAGCGGAGGATTATATAATAATTTTATTCCATAACATACTAATTAAATTTTATATCTAAGTTTTTCAGTTTTCAAACACGACGTTTCAGGAGTTAATACGCCCCATCTTCAGGTCTAAAAAAATTCAGTTGATCGTAATTAATAAATGTATACTTAGGAGATTTAAATTCTCAATAATTAACAAATTTAAAACCAACTTACTGGTCTTTCGCATATAACAAGTATTCAGGTCTAACAGAAGTTAACTCGTTATGATTTGTCGTGACCCACCGGGGAAAATTATACTTAGTTTAAATCCCTAAAAAGGTTTCATTTTTTTATAAAAAATATTTGAAATTTAGAAAATATTCACGTATTAAATTACCAATTTTAATAAAGTAGAGGTCACCCATTTGTCACGAACACTAATCCTGGTGACACTCGAATGTTCTGGAACCAGGTTCGAAGCGACTTCGAGGCGCGAGCAGAACAAGGGGAGGAGGCGCTTTATTCTATAGTAAAACCTGCATTTGATTCCGATTTTGTTTTTCTTGCAATTCTTTAATTGTATTATCATAGTTGGGGTAAATGAGTTTAATTCCGCCATTGAATTCATGGTCTGCCGAATTTTAATATGTAGCAGTTTCCATTATTATTCTTTGTACGTTCTCCACTGCTAGAATCTGAGGGTCATTGAATTCTAGTGGGTGGTTTAGATCTAACCCGTGCTTGGAAATAGTTTTGCGTGTTGGGTTCTGGTAAAA